GATCATGCAGACAATGGACTCCGGACTAGGTGCGTTCCTCTAAGTCTTCCTACCAATATGACCGAGTTATGAAAACAAGGGCAAACAACTTCTATATAATGAAAGGAGACTGCGACGACACAAAAGGCCACACCATCTTGGTCTTCATACCTTAGATAGAAAGTATTAACTTTATATCAATTCCTCTCAATCCCGAAACAAGAGTCCTGGAAAAGGGACTCAATTTTTCAATTCAACATCACAGAAGCCTTCTAGGAGACATCCTGGTGGAGGTTATCAATATCGCCGACAAGTTCCCTGAGGAGACGGAACGGGAAATGGAAATGGAACTAATTCTAAAGATCTTTACACACCAAGAGCCAAATGAAAAGAACAGATTTGCCGTGATACTTAAAACCCTGAAAACGAATGAACAATTAGTCCTTTAGGCGGATAAGGGAGGAGCTACAGTGATAATGGACAAAAAACAATATACCGAGAAGATGGAATATATTCTACGAGACAGGACCAGATATCGTATACTAAACAAGAACCCAACCATGAAGATCAATGGAATCTTATGTGCCATGCTGAAAGATATGCATAGGAATGGGGAAATTGACGTATGGACAAGAAATTAAATCATAAGAAAGGATGCACGATCACCAACAGCATACAAATTACCGAAGATACACAAAGAAGGCCAGCCACTAAGGCTGATAGTCAACAACAAGTATGAAGCAAGACACAAATTAGTAAAGTTTATATGTTTGAAACTCAATAAATTAAATGATAGACTACCGAACACGGTGAAATATTCATATAAATTTTCTCAAAAAAATCAAAAACATGGCACTAGAAGAAACGGACTTATTGGTAAGTTTGATGTAGAGTATATGTATGCAAATATCTCTGGAGAAAATGCGCTAACGGCCCTGTTGGAAATGTTAGACAGAGAGAAGGATATACTGGAATCACAACGGATCGGTAGGGAGTCGTTAACAAGACTAATCAACTTTACAATAACGACAACCTATTTTACATTCAACGGGAACATCTATGAACAAATATTTGGACTTCTGATGGGATTGCCGCACTCACAACTTTTCATAAACCTATACAGGAACAAAATAGAAGAGAGTTTTATGATGGCACCGTTACAACCGGCAGCGATCATGCGGTACCTGGAGGATTACTTCGCACTTTGGTCACATGGAAGAGAAAAAATGGAAGAGTTTCTCAAGTTTGTAAACCAGATTGGTGAAAGAATTCAATTCACGATGGAAGTAGAGGAAGGTGAGCGGTTACCGTTCCTGGACGTTGAAGTGATTCGATCTTATGGGACGCTCAAAAAGAAATTGTTCAGAAAGAAGTCGTAAGCCGGGATAATACTCAATTTCCGGTCCTATCACAATTGCAGGCTGAAGATTGGAATAATGAGGAGCATGATCATCCGAAGCCTACGCTTAACGGATGTAGAATTCTGCGACGAGGAGCTGGACAAATTGATAAGGATATTTCTCTACAATGGCTACCCAATCGAAGTCATAAAAAGAAACATACAAGGCATGAAAAGCCGATGGCAAAATGGGGACTATAAAAGAACAGTAAGGACGATAAAGGATTCACAAAAGTGGATATGCCTACCTTCCTGCGAACTAACTCAGAAATTACTGCCAATATTGAGTAAATGGAATATTCAGGTGGCCATGAAAGAGAAATAAAAACTTTTCACAAGTCTACTGACGCAACATGAAAGGGTAGATAAATTGGATTGTTCAGGAGTTTAATGTATTGGCGAAACAGCTAGAAAAATTAGCACACTAATGAAGTAACATCAAAGGCTCTGCAGGAAAATGGATACCTAAATATCAGAACTAGCGGAACCCATCGCACAGACTGGACACGAGATCAATTGGAAGGCAACAGAAAGAAGAGCCCCATTCAGTGACAACACAAGGTATCGGAAGATTAGGGAGGCCATCGATATCCTTGGGGAGAAAAATCTAATGAAAAAGCGATTGGAGGAAGGTAAAGTTAGCGATAACTTTGCGTACTGCCTAAGCAAACTTTGGAAAAAAAATAATAGAGCAAGGCCAGCAAAAAGGAGACACCTGGATCAAGGATCTACCGCAAACCGGAGGAAAAGGAATCTCAATGAAGAAAGGGGGGGCAGGGGTTTTCGGCAATAAAGCGAAGACGTTGTCAGTGATTGATGTCCATTTCGAATATACTAATACAACTTTGGGGCCTGACTGCAGGGAGCTAGGCAGACGGATAAGCAAACCATCACGAAAAATCGGCGTTATAGCCAAAATGCACTAGAAATCCACTTTAGATTTCGCATGCGACCAGAGATAGGCATCCACAGTTTGATCAGATAACATGGGTTTAATTAAGGAGAGGACCTGTAAAGGGAAGGCCTGATATCTGCAAGCATTGGAATCAGAGCTTAGGCGCTCTGCTCAGTGAAGCGGCAGTGTACCTGCTTCTAGGGCCTTGAGAAATGGCGTCTGGAGTGAAATACACACAGAGATTGGAACCGAGTGAAATAGGTTAACCGGAAAGATAAGAAACGGATCTACGATACAATGAAGGGATCCGGATTGGAGGCCCGGGTCGGATCAGCCGATCGAAAGAGGGGGGTCGGGGTGAATAGCAAGTGTGATGAGGCCACACTAGATTTGCCACAAAAGGGCAGACATTTTGATGAGTGGAATGTAAACAAGTGATAAGTTGTGATAGGGCGGCAGTGGGATAAGAGGGAAAGAGTAAATAGATAGGCCAGGACAGAAAGAGGAGTGATTGTGTAACAGTTTTCAGCAGAACGTTTGTCGAGGTATTGATTTGATCTGTCTCTTTGACGAGTTCGTAGCTGTGTGCGGATAATCGCAAAGTTCACTGACGATGCCGACTATGATACCGGTCAAACGTTTGAGAATGTACAAAGTCCACTGTCTTATGCTGGAAAGCATGACAACTACTATGGCAGACGATTTCGGATTAGGTGCGTTCTACTAAGTCGTCCTGACAACAAGACCAAGTTTCGACCACGAGGTCAACTCACTTCTATAAATCGAAAGGAGACTGCGACCATACCAGAAACCACAACATCTTGGTCTTCATATCTTTAATGGAATCTGTAGAGCTTTCTTGGTTCGATGGACAGGATAACTGGGGAGACATAATTCACCATCGAGTTAAGAAAGGAAGGTGGTTTACCTTTTCTTGATGTCCTAGTTAGCAAAGCAAGGGCCAGATTTTGTAGAGATATGTATAGGAAACTCACAACTGCAGGTTAACTTTGGAATTTCTTTTCCAATAGAAGTTATGAAATCTATGGTAATAATAATCCCGGGTCTGACAGATGCTAAACATCGGTACCAGGAATTGAGAAGACTCATGATAATTCTAGTTAGAACAATTATCCGCGAGGACTGATCAATGATTAGTCTGAAATATTGTCAAATAGGATAAAGGGAAATATATATTTATGGCTAGATGAAAGCTCAAACTACTCTACCAATGTCCTTATGCTTCCAACATGCAATCTGTCAAAGAAGATAAGGAAGTTACTAAGGAGGTGGGATATCAGGACTAGGTATACAAAGAAAATAACACTTTTCTCTGAATTCACTTCTTCTCGAGAATATTCTAACACTCTCTCTAGATCGGGCTGTCACAACATTTTGTGTTCATGCGGTAGCG